AATTATTTATTTGTCCACCTCCAATAAGGGTCATGTATTACAAATCTCTATCTTTCCTACAGAAATACCCATAGTAGTATTCTTTTTTCTCTGAAAGAGTATTTTTGTAATCAAATTATGTAACCTGTGTAAGTAGTGTCTGTAAACACATGAACTTCTTACTGGCATTTGGAGGAGTTATGTGAGGCATTTGTAAACACAATGTTGGTTCCCCGGTCTCGGCATTCAGGACCAGGTCTCCGTCGACCGGGCCCAAAGCCCTGTGCCCGTGTCTAATTCCCCGACACCCGAGCCCGGATCCATAAAAGCGGTGCTTGGGTCCCCGATGCCCGAGCTCTATCCCCCGCACTCAAGCTCGAGCCCACAAAGGCCATGCGTGAATCCTTGGCTCGCTCGGGGCCTTAGTTAATAAAACGTTCGTTCTTATAAAAATATATTTTTAAAAAAATCAAATTTTTAGTTATTTTTTATTTTCTTTTTCTTTTTCTTTTTCCTTCTTCTTAGGCTAGTCGCGGGCCACTGTGATGGTCAGCGACCAGCCACAGGCGAGGCTTGAAGCTTGCCCCTCACCTGTGGCCGGTCGCCAGCCTAAGAAGAAGGAAACGAGAAACAGAAAGAAAAGAAAAGAAAAAAAAAAGAAAATGAAAGAATAAATTAAAATAATTAAAATATAAAATATAAATAATTAAAAAAATTTAAATATTTTGGTAATTTTCCCTGGGAAAATCAAATTAGATTTTCCATAACAAAATGCGGAAGATATTTTCCAGATCATTTTCATGTTTTAGTCAAACACCGGAAAATGACTTACCGGAAAATATTTTCTAGAAATGTTACATTTTTCACAAAATAAACGGAGCCTAAAAGACAAAAGAAAAGGGGATCTCTTTCATATTTGAAGAGTCTTACGACAAAAAGGGCACACCAATAAAAAGAGAAAAAAAACAAGAAAAAACGAACTAATAAGAAAAGTGGAACGAGAATTATATCCAGAGTTAGGGAGGCAAAATGGTTGATCATAATATGACTGAACATTAGCTCCTGATCATCCTGCACAAGATCGCCTCTTCTGTCACCATTGTGATTCTTTTTGTCGTTGAATTGATCTTATGTACCTCACGATATTGTTTCATTCGTTTCCTATGTCAATGGAAAAGGGTAGGGTGCAAAGAAGAGGATGGTTATTAGATTAACTGAGATACCGCAACGCAATTTATCAGGAGTACAATTTAGAGAAGGGTCTTATAGTTGCTTATTCAAATCAAAGTCGTAATTGACATCTATTATGCATCGACTGCACAATCACACACATTAATTCAGAGCTGCCCTATATATAGTTGATAAACAAGGTTAAGTAAGTCCACTTTGGTCCCTGACTCTTGTCAAATATGCAATTGGGTTATCATATATTCTTTTCGTTTGTGATCAAAGTCTCCTTACTTACTTGATTCGTTCAATTGAAATTTCTAACTTATTTGATTTATGCAACGGGTTCTTCCATCACCTACCATGAACAATTCCATCAATTTTGCGAATGTATGATAATTGATGTGACGAAAAATCGTCACGCCGCACCAACAAAGTACCCTTAAATTATTTGTGTGTGTGTCTGAGACAGAGAGGACCTAATCAAACAGTACTTTCGCATCAATCTTCTGATCTTACGTGGAAGTTTTATTATTTGCTAAATTTGACTTCACATGCTAACAAAATGAAATTGATTTAGATGTTGTGACAACAAGATGAATACCACTAATAGCTAAGATTACGCTCCGTTTTCCTGATATGTTATTTCGATGTGTGACTAAAACAGTCGGCGTACAACTATTGCTTGTCGAAGCCATCTCCGAATTCTCTCATCTGATGCCTAGGAGCTGATTAAACTTCTGGTTGCTCCATGTGAAATGTAGTTGAATCACACTTCATGCATGGACTGCATTTTGGTAGAGATCTACAAGGTGATGCATTTGTGCTTTTGAGCACTCCAAGCTAGAAGATATAATCAGACTTTCACAACCTTATGCTCGCATGATGAACTTGCTTTCCTCACGGTGGATGTCGGCGAGAGACGTGCACAGATAACAAAAGTTGCCCATACAATACAACACATATAAAGCATGAACCGATAGGGAATTTGATTTGCCGATAATAAAGTCTCATTTGATTTCTAGGAACTCGGTCCCACCCTTTTCATTGTATGGATTCTGTGTGTGCATTTGACGCAGAGAGAAAGCGTAAATTTGGAACAACTCCAAAGAACTTGAAATTTTTATTCAATAATACTGTGTTCTTGATTACAAGACGGACATCTTATATATAGAGATAGGACTCCTAATACTAATGGAAACCGAATAATTAAAGAAACTGCCTAAATGGTAATATAGGAAACTGCCTGACTGGTAATATAAGAAACTGCCTAAATGATAATATAGGAAACTGCTTGAATGGTTGTTTTCCCCAAAATCAGAAAAACTGCCGAGATTTCCGGTGATTACGGCGATCACATTGTTCAAGATAATCACAGGCTAACTGTTCTACATCATTCCCTTCCTCTTCGGAAAAACTCGCCCTCGAGTTATAATCAGGATAGAGGGGTGTATCAGAAGCATGATACTCAAATAAGTCTCGCCACATTAAATGTAGGGGAAATGTTGAGATCACCGGGAAGGTCAACTACATAGGCATTGTCGTTGATCTTCTTCGGGATGCGGCAAGGACCAATCTTCTTGTGCTTCGAGTTTATTATAGGTACCTACAGAAAACGCTCCTTTCGCAGGAAAACCATTACCTCATCGCCTACCTCAAAAATTTTCGAACGTCGCCGTTTGTCAGCATCCTCCTTATACTTTGAATTAGAAGCAGCCAATTGACTAGCAACAGCAGCTTGGACTTCATTAATTCTGGTCGCCAAATTCTCTGCCGCGACACTATAGCCTGGAATCTTGGGCAAGGGAACCAAATCCAGAGTATGCTGTGGTGTACGCCCATAAACGACCTGAAAGGGAGATGTACTGGTAGAGCGGTTAACCGAGTTGTTGAAGGCGAACTCAGCAGGAGCAAGATACCGGTCCCACTGCTTAGGCATATCACTGCAGAGGCAGCGAATGATATCCGCCATAGTACGATTCACAACTTCCGTCTGACCATCCGTTTGGGGATGGAAAGAACTACTATACTGTAAATCAGTCCCAAACAAACGCCATAAAGTACGCCAAAAATGGCTCAGAAATTTCGTGTCACGATCGGAAGTGATTGTCTTCGGCACACCATGGAGACAGACTACTTCACGAAAGAATAAACTTGCCACATGCGAAGCATCCGAAGTTTTCTTACAAGGGATGAAGTGCGCCATCTTTGAAAATCGGTCAACCACCACGAAAACAGAATCTAAACCCCGTTGAGTGCGAGGAAGTCCCAACACGAAGTCCATCGATATGTCTACCCAAGGACCCGAAGGAATAGGCAATGGAGTATAAAGACCAGTGTTCTGAGAGTGGCCCTTAGCGGTCTGGCAAATGTAGCATTTACTGACAAATCGCCCCACATCTTGCTTCAGTTGAGGCCAATAGTACCGCTCCTCCACCAAGGCTATAGTTTTATCTCGCCCCAAATGTCCGCCGAGAGTACTACCATGAAGCTCTCGAATGAGTTGTTCACGTAAGGAACCACGTGGAATGCATAATCTATTGCCAAAGAACAAGAAATTTTCTTGAATTATCATATCGCCATGACAACTTGTTTCAGAACACTTCTCCCATATCTCACCAAAATCATCATCCTCAGGATAAAGAGAACATAGGTGATCAAAACCGACAACATCAGTGCGCATGGTCACGAGTGTCGCAGCACGTCGACTCAGCGCATCTGCCACTTTATTTAAATGGCCTGCTTTGTGACGAAGCACAAAATTAAATTGTTCCAGAAAAGAAACCCATCGTGCATGCATTCGATTTAAGTGCTTCTGACTCTTGATATATTTAAGAGCCTGATAATCGGTATTAAGAACAAATTCCTGCTGATAAAGATAGGACTGCCAATGCTTTATAGCTCGCACGATAGCATAATATTCCTGCTCATACGTCGACCAACGCCGGCGAACTTCATTAAGTTTTTCACTAAAGAAGGCTATAGGCTTACCTTCTTGGGAAAGGACAGCGCTAATCCCGACGCCGGAAGCATCACAATCCAGCTCGAACACTTTCTCAAAATTAGGGAGCATCGATACCGGCGCCGTTGAAGACGTGATCAGGAGCCATAGGCTGCTGGACTCTCCCCAACGTCCTATCCCCCTGATTCCTTCTCTCTCGCAGTGAAGAGGACGTAAATCCATATCTGAGTCGGCCTGTTCTGTTTCGCCGTTCGTCTGCGGTTCTTGCTCTCGACGGGTTCTCCTGGGCTTATACTGAAGGGGAAGCCCTCTCGCAGTGAAGGTAACTCCCCCTATCAGTCCCTCTCCCTGGTGTTACTGGTTTGGCCTGGACACACTCATTTGGGGTTTCTTGAGCTTCGATTTTGGGCTGTAACTGAGATGTTTGTTGTTGAGTCTGGCTGATTGATCGATAGTGCTGGTGATAGCATTTCTGTATTGGTCAAATGGAGGAGGTTACTAGGAACCCATTGCTCGACTCGAACCGGCTAGGAAATCCCCGAACCCATCCACGGCGTTGTTGCCGATCGTCCCGCGTCGGTTCTTCCGTAATAGAACAATTAAGGAATTCGACTTTGGCTGTTCCCCCTGCTGGACCTAACCGTAATCGGAGTAGGGGTAGGTCGAAGATTAGAAGCCGCTCTCTCAGACGCGGCCAGTTTGTTGCATCCTCAAGTCGGCAACCTAGTACTAAGGAGACTGAAACTGTGCCTGGACAGAATGGTAGCCAACCTCATGGTCTCCCTACTTCGGGCTCCAAACCCAGATCTTGGGCTAATGTTGCTAGGGTCTTAACTAAAGGCTACAACCTTTCTTATGTTCCCCCGAGAGAGGAAAATGGTGAATTGATAGTATGGCTGATGAAAACCCCCTTTGGCTGGAATGTGTCGTGGGACACTACATTGGGAAGAAAGCTCCCTTTAAGCTGACTGAAGAGGCTATTAGGAAAGCATGGGGTGACAAAGTGGCTGATATTAAACTCCATGAAAACGGATTCTACTTCTTTAGAGTCCCAGATTCTGAGTTCCGCAGGAAGCTCGTTGATTCTGGTCCGGTGTCAATATTTAGCTGCACTATGGTACTGCAGCAATGGCATTCCAAACTAAAGCTCAAAAGAGGAGTTATTGAGACCATGCCGGTTTGGGTAAGATTGAGAGACATTCCCTTTTCCTTATGGTCACCTTCTGGCATTGGGCGAATCGCTAGTGCCTTAGGGAAACCTCTCTATGTTGATGTTCAAACAGAACAAATGTCAAGGATCTCCTATGCTCGAGTCTGTGTGGAGATAAAGGCTTCAGTTCCTAGAGCTGAACAAGTGAAGTTCCGATGGGAAGATGAAGTAAATGAAATCCAAGTTGAATACGAATGGAAACCGCTGGCTTGTCCTTCCTGTGCCATTTTTGGACACAAAAAAGGTTCTGCTGGTTACAAATGTGCAGCTCAATCTGAACCTGTCCAGCGAGGCACAGCTCGTGCAAATGGCCATGTCAACAGAGTAGTCCAACCTGCACCTGTCCAAAGAGATGAAGGATGGACCCAAGTGCCCTCTAGGAAAGGCAAAGCACCTGCTGGACAGTCCCTTTCAGCACCAATTACAGCTCCTGCGCAGTTCATCCCAGGCCCGCTTCGGGCTTGAATCGAACACGACCGAATCCCTCCGGCTATTTTGCATTCACCTCTCGCAACCCTGAGAGAGGGACACGACTCGAGACCTCCTATGGTCACCGATCTAGGCCCAAGCCTGCCCTCTGCTTCAAGTCCTGCAGATCCTACTGATCAGCTGACTGAGGAGCATTCTCTACCTCAGCAGGCTTCCACCGAAGGATCTCCTGAGTCCCAGGCAATTCCGGACAACTCTAGTGACTCGGAAGGAATACTGGAAAGGGGGGCAGCACCTTCCTCCCCCCCCCAACACAAGGTCTCGCACTTCTCTGTCTGGAGCTTCGGACGAACTGCCTAGACCCTCTTCCGGTACTGGACATAACGCAATGCACCCTGGAACAGTCCCCAGTCCGTCTTCCTCTAAAAAGAAATCCAAAAGGAGGAAGCCAAGGAGAACTCAGCGTTAGTTATCTGTATCTACTTATGTTTTTTGGCGTATGGAATATACGGGGACTAGTAGCACCCCTGAGGCAAGCTGAAATTCGTGCCTTCATTACTAAAAATCACCTTCGCTGTATTGGGATTATTGAAACCAAAGTTAAAGCCTCTTCTTTTACTGTGATTTCAAGAGGCTTATCCACCAACCGGCGTTGGCTCTCCAACTACGCTTCTCCCTCTTGGTAGGATTTGGTTGGCTGGGACCCAAATGATGGATATTAGTCTCATTTATACTTCTTGCCAAATAATGCATCTTCAGCTCCGGTTTTTGCACCTCCAGGATTCTTGCTTGTTTACAATTGTATACGGTGAACACACTTTTGTAAAGCGCAGACAATTATGGGCTGACCTATACCGACTCTCCAATGGCGACTTACCTTGGATTGTTGCCGGGGACTTCAATGCAATCAGAGATCCGGAGGATAGGGTGGGCAGCTCAACACCTTGGATTCCATCTTTTGATGAATGTAGAGAAGGCCTCAACCAAGCCGGTTTGGAGGACCTGCGATATGTAGGATGTCGTTACACTTGGACACATTCCTCAGGGGCAAATCGGAAAATGCGTAAGATCGATCGGGTACTTATAAATGACTGTTGACTCCAACAATTCTCTTTCTCTGAAGCCAATTTTCTCCCGCCTGGAATATCTGATCACAGCCCCATGGTGATTAAGATTGTTCCACCTAGTTCTTCCAACAAGCCGTTCAAGTTCTTTAACTTCGGACTTCTCATCCGGCCTTCATGGACATAGTTACCCAAGTTTGGGATACTCACTACATTGGCACCCCTATGTTTATAGTTTGCTGTAAACTCAAGGCCCTCAAAGCAAAGTTGAAACTTATGAATAGGGCTTCCTTCTCGATATTTCCAACAGACGGAGCGAGGCTAGATTGAATCTCTCTCGACGTTCAAACAGCCTTGGAGTCGAATCCTTTTGATCGAGACCTAAATGCAAGCGAAGCCACACTCTTGCGAACTTTCTCGATTTGAGATCTCAAGAAGAATCTTTCTTCAGCCAGAAATCTAGAATTCGTTGGCTCAAGGAAGGCGACATGAACACTAAATACTTTCATCACTTTGTTAACAAGAGGAGACTCCACAATAGAATCCTCACTGTTTCAACAGAGGATGGTGTGCTAATTACTGAACCTCAGGAAGTCAGCAACCATATTGTACGCCACTTTCAGAGTCTATTAAATGGCGATTCAGCACCAGCCCAACTTTTCGTTCCGAGTTGGAGATTCTTATTGACCAAGTCTTAGATGGAAATCAGAGGGCTATCCTTTCTCACCGATTGCGAGGAAGAAATTCAATCAAATCTCTTCTCACTTGCTAAGAGCAAAGCTCCTGGCCCTGACGGTTACAATGTTGAGTTCTTCAAGCACACATGGGGGATCATTGGCCCATCTATTCTGACGGCTATAAAGGACTTCTTTGAGACAGGTCGTTTGCTTAAAGAGATTAATAACACCATCTTAACGTTGGTACCGAAATCCCCAAATGCATCGGCCACGAGCGACTTCTGACCAATTGCATGCCGCAACACCCTTTATAAATGCATCTCAAAAATCCTTGCTTGGGCGCATTGCAAAGGTTATACCGACGTTGATTGGATCCTCCCAAACAGCATTTGTTAAAGGCCGCCGAATCAGTGACAACATCATGGTTGCACAAGAGCTTTTTGCGGACTTTCACCATGAAGCTTATCTACCAAAATGTGCCATTAAGGTTGATTTTCATAAAGCCTTTGATACACTTGATTGGAACTTCATAGAAAGGGTACTCAAACCTTCAAATTTCCAGCCTTTTTCATTAGGCTGGTTATGACATGCATCTCAACTGCAAAGTTCTCGGTCTCCATTAATGGAGAACTACATGGCCATTTTCATAGCAGCCGAGGGATACGTCGGGCGATCCGCTATCGCCGTACCTATTCATCCTAGCTATGGAAATCTTCTCGCCTATCCTCAAGTCCAAAGCGACGTCCGGACTTCCGGTGGTTTTGGCGACGCAAGAAACCTCGTATATCCCATTTGTTCTTTGCTGATGATGTTCTTTTATTTTCGCAAGGACACATGAGATCGTTAGAGCTCATAAAGGAATCCCTCGATTTGTTCTCAAATTGTTCTGGCTTAAGACCAAATCTTAATAAGAGCAATATGTACCTCTCGGGCGGTAATCCCGATCTCCGTAGTGCTCTTCTTCAATGCATCGGTTTTCAACAAGGGTCTCTGCCCTTTCGATACTTGGGTGTGCCTATTATCTCTTCTAGGCTGCGTAAAGAGGATTGCAAATTCCTCATTGAATCCATAACGGCACGAGCCTGTTCTTGGACCCAAAGATTCCTATCGTTTGCTGGTCGCGTACAGCTCATACAATCGGTTTTACTCTCCATCCAAGTTTACTGGGCCACAATTTTCTCCCTCCCCAAATCGGTCTTGAATAGCATTGAGGCTATCCTTCGACGCTTCCTTTGGAAAGGTCCTGGCTTAGGAACGGGAGGTGCAAAGGTATCTTGGAATGTTGTCTGTCTCCCAAAAGATGAAGGCGGCCTCGGGATACGAAGGCTTACTGAATATAATAGAGCCATGACTCTAAAGCACATATGGATCCTTTTCACCGATAAGGAATCCATGTGGTGTAAATGGATACATTCTAACTTTTTAAAGAAGAACTTTTGGGTTGTACCCAAGCCCACCTTTTGCTCATGGACTTGGAAGAAGATTCTCGACTTCCGAGTCTCAGCCCAGACCCTTTTCAGGTGGAAAATTGGCAATGGCCGGTCGATATCCTTTTGGTATGATTGCTGGCACACAAGAGGCCCCCTCTACCTACTTTTCAACAATACGGAAATATACCAATCTCGGATCCCACGGGACTTTTCGGTTCGGGATTTTTTCCACTCTACATGGCAACCATCAGCAACCCTCCACTCTATCCTGGAATGGATGGATCATCTTCCAAGATTAGATGATGACACTCCGGACAGCTTTACCTGGAGTCCAAACCCGACTGAATCTTTCTCGGTGGCCCAGGCCTGGAACCACATAAGGAAGAAAGGCAATCCAGCACCTTGGCACTCCTTTATATGGGACTCTCACTTGACCCCCCCGCCACTCCTTTTTATTATGGATTGTGTCATTAAAACGGCTACCTACCCAGGTCTTTCTTATGCAAAATCGTCGGATTGAATCAGGTTTATGTGCTTTCTGTCGTACTATCCCAGATTCCATCAATCATCTCTTCTTCGAATGTTCTGTTACCAGCAGGCTGGCCTCATTTTGGGCAACCAAATGCAATCTGCCATGGCGCAATTGTCCGTGGCTGGAGCTTCTTTCGTGGGCCTTCAAAGTTTGTGGAGGCACTTCCTTCCGGCACCGAATCGCTAGATTCTCCTTCGGTGCTCTTTGTCACATCATATGGATTGAGCGGAACAACTCTCTTTTCAGAAACAAGAGTATCTTTATTCCGGGAATCCGCAAACACTTGCTCAAGCTGGTGAAGGATAAAGCTCTATCCTCAGGGAAAATTGCTGACACACCTACAAATAGGCGACTCCAAAGGAACTGGGAACTCTCACCTTCCATTTTTTCATAATTTGGTTGTGTAGTTTCTCTATCTTGTACCTAGCATTGTTGGTTGTTAGTTTTTCGTTTTTGCCTTGTTGAGTGCCCCCCCCCTCTTTCGGACTTCATGTAGATTCGGGATTCGGGGTTTTCTCTTGTCATTTCCTTGTATTTGGTGATTCAGAAAAGTAATACAAACTCTTACCTTTACCAAAAAAAAAAATCAATACCGGCGCCGTGGAGAGCTTTTCTTTTATAAGAGCAAAACTGGCCGAAGCTTCATCTCCCCAATAGAATTTGCCCTTTTTTAAATAGTCAGTGATTGGGGCCATAATAATACTGAAATCTCGAATGAAACGCCTATAGAATGTTGCAAGACCATGGAAACTTCGAGTCTCGCCAACATTCTTTGGAACTGGCCACTTGCGAATCACGGCCACCTTATCTGCATCAACGTGAAGTCCATCCGCGCCAACAACAAAAACCAAAAACAAGAGGCGTTCTGTCATGAAGCTACACTTTTTCAGATTAATGAACAATTTATTTTGCTGCAAGGTTAGTAGGACATCCCTCAAGTGCTACATGTGTTGACGCCCATCCGGACTATATATGAGTATATCATCAAAGAAAACTACCACAAACTTGCCAAGAAAAGGTTTGAGAACCTGAGTCATCAAACGCATGAAAGTACTAGGCGCGTTAGTGAGTCCAAACGGCATGACAAGCCATTCGTACAAACCTGCACTTGTCTTGAAGGCCGTTTTCCATTCGTCGCCAGGGCGGATGCGAACTTGGTGGTATCCGCTTCGAAGGTCAATCTTCGTAAAAATCCGTGATCCAGCAAGTCTGTCTAGCATATCATCAAGTCGTGGAATCGGAAACCTATACTTGACAGTAATCCGGTTAATGGCACGACTGTCTACACACATACGCATGGTGCCATCTTTTTTTGGTGTGAGAAGCGCAGGAACTGCACATGGACTTTTGCTTTCACGCAAGAAGCCCTTTCGAAGGAGCTCTCCCACCTGCTCCTGTAGAATCTGATTATCCTTCGGATTCATTCGATAATGCGGCAAATTAGGAAGACTAGCACCTGGAAGAAAATCAATCTTATGCTGGATATTCCTCAAAGGAGGTAATCCGTCAGGTAAATCCTCAGGCATAACATCATTATATACCTTTAATAAGGGCTTAAGAATGTCGGGAACACGAACCACAACTTGCTGGTCGCTCTTGTCCACAATCATATACATCCCTTCACGCTTTCGAATGTTCATCATAACCCCTGCATTCTGCTTCTTCACAATCTGAGGGGAATTACTCTTCGGTCTCAAAGTAATTTTAGTTCTTTTCCACACAAAAGAATACGTATTCTCCCTAGCTCGGTGTGTAGCATCAACATCATATTGCCATGGTCGACCCAGTAAAACATGACACGCATCCATCTCCACAACATCACAGACAATAGTATTTTGATATGATTTTCCAATTGAAATAGGCAAACGGCATAATTGGTTTACCTTAAGTTCTGCTCCCTTGCGTATCCACCCGATCGTGTAGGGCGCGGGATGCGGCTCCGTCTTTAGTTGCAAGTGATCCACCAAGGCCTTTGACACTATGTTCTCGCAACTTCTACTGTCAATAATGATATCGCATACTTTGTCGTTGACAGTACAGCGAGCGCGGAAAAGCTGATTCCGCTGGGTATCTTCTGTCCGCGGAGTAAGCAATAGACGACGCACTACACAATTAACTTGCTCGCCCACTTCATCTTCCACTCCCACTTCTTCTTCATTTTCCCAATCTTCCTCATACACATCTTCGTCATGTTCAACGATATTGGCCATTCTACGACGAGGACAATCGCTGGAACGATGGCCCAACTCGTTACACTTGTAACACTTGATCGGTTGGGGCTTGGCATATGAATTCTGGGTATTCTGATTGGGATTGCGATTGCTTGCTGCGACTGCTTCCTTAGGTGTCCCACTAGTACCACCTGGAACTCGGCTCGAATCAGGTGTTTGTTGACTAGAACTTGCAATATCAGGCTGTCTTCCTTTCCCGAATGACCCACGACCCGAATAATTGCTACCACGAGTACTAGGGCTAGTCCTCTCCAATTGCACCTCAATTTTTCGCGCCATATCCTGGGCGTCTTCGACAGAGAATAGTCGATGCAAAGAAACCCGATCCTGGATATTAAGTCGTAAACCATTAATGTACCTAGCAGTTTGTTGTGCCTCGGACTCATCCAGGTTATTGCGAGCGGAGAGTCGAAGGAACTCTTTTGTATAAGCTTGGACCGATCTATTCGATTGTCCGCAATTCTGGAATTGCTGAAATAACAGTTGCTCATAGTCCGTTAAGAGGAACCTCTTCTTCAACTTCTGTTTCATCTGACCCCATGATCGAATAGGAGCATTGCTTTGTCGACGTCGCGTCAATTGAGTCTGTTCCCACCAAGCTGAAGCGCCACCCTTCAACTTGTACGCCACAAGTTTCACTTGGCGATCCTCGTCAATATCCATAGCGTCGAAGAATTTCTCGACCTCCCAAAGCCAGTCAAGGAAATCTTCAATATCCAAATTCCCATTGAAAGTAGGGAGATCTATCTTTAGTTGATACTGCTCAGGATCTCGTCGATATCCTCCCTGACGTCGATTCCCACGAACATGCTCCTCCTGGAATCCCCTGTATCGGCGACCACCACGAATTTGCATCTCCTCGAAATCATCGTCTTCGTCTTCCGTATCCTCGACATAGTCTTGACGCCTATGTCGGGGAATTCCTCCACGCCCCATAGCATTTTCGGGATCACGAACGACAGGAATTCGCTCGGCTGGAAGAACGCCAGGTGCATGGTTTGTGGACAAACGCTGGATGGCATCAAGGATCTCTTGAAACCTCCGATCGGTTTGATCCACGAACTGATTGAACTCAGCCCACGTAATAGGCTCGTTCTCACGGCCCTCAGCAGCGGGGAGATTGAATTCACGTTATTCACCATCGTCACAGGAGAAACCCGCTCTGATACCAAATGACGTAGAGAGAAAGCGTAAATTTGGAACAACTCCAAAGAACTCAAAATTTTTATTCAATAATAATGTGTTCTTGATTACAAGACGGACATCTTATATATAGAGATAGGACTCCTAATACTAATGGAAACCGAATAATTAAAGAAACTGCCTAAATGGTAATATAGGAAACTGCCTGACTGGTAATATAAGAAACTGCCTAAATGATAATATAGGAAACTGCTTGAATGGTTGTTTTTCCCAAAATCAGAAAAACTGCCGAGATTTCCGGTGATTACGGCGATCACATTGTTCAAGATAATCACAGGCTAACTGTTCTACATCATCATTCCAGCGCATTCCCGGGCGATCACTTGTTTCTGAAGTCCGACCAGCCAAGCATAATGGAAGACAGATACGAGAGCTGGCTGGCGAGGTACAACCGGACGTACAAAAGTAGAGCTGAGCAAATGCTGCGGTTCGAGATTTATCAAGCCAGTGTCCTGTACGTCGACTTCTTAAATGGGCCACGGTTACCGTTCGAGCTCACCGACAATAGATTCGTGGACATGACAAACGCGGAGTTCAAAGTGACCTACCTGGGTTTTCACGGGAGGATGAACCAGAGAACTGATAAAGGAGGCTAATGTTACCGATGACACCGACTTAGACACGCCGGCGAGTTTTGATTGCAGGAAGGAAGGCGCTGTAACTCTGGTCAAGGATCAAGGCCAATGTGGTATATAAGATTAAGTCGCATGTTCTGCTCCCAAAGAGAAAGTAGTTGGGTTTTTTCCGTGGTGGCGGCCGTCAAAGGCCTCAACAAGATCAAGACGGGGAAGCTAGTGTCTCTATCGGAGCAGGAGCTCGTGGACTGCGACGTCAGGAAGCACAACCAAGGCTGCAGCGGCGGAGCCATGGACACCGCTTTTTCTCTCATTCTACACAACGGAGGCATCACTTCCGAGTCCAATTATCCTTACCGAGGATGGGAAGGATCTTGTGACGAGACCAGGCTTAGGAATCATGTGGCCACGATAAGTGGATACAGCAATGTGCCCATGGACGAGGAGGAGGGAAGAGAGCGAGGGCAGAGAGGAGTGTCTTTGATTCAATTGGGAGAAACATCAGCCGTTTTCGTTGCTGGTTACTATTTTCACCGCTACTCAATGGAGACTCTGTTCGCCTCTGTCCACAGTTGCTGTCACCGAAGAGCTCAAGCAGTGGCTGTTTCTTCTCGTTTTGTTGATTTCGATCCTTGAAGTCGCTCCAGTGGTTGCCTTATTCAAGTTCAATCAATCACATGTAATAATCCTTTACTAGATCCAACTGAATTTGCTTTTGTTTTAGGTGATTGCGAATGCAAACAAAACCGAGAAGCCTAGTTGTGGTTCGATTGAAAATATCTCCAATTGAGGATCTGTCGTTGACTTGAACCTGTTTTGATGATATTGTGATAGTTTGGATGTGAATCATTGTTCCGTAGCTACATCTAGCTCCTTTGGCTGAGGTGCCTGTCACTTGTTTGATAAAATGTATAAATGATGTCAGGATGCACATTTGTTAGATGAAATAAGGATTGCAATCATTCTACTTCGTTCTTAGTCTCATGAAGAGAGATTTGTGCCTTTTTGAAGGGTCAAATTGTGATTGTTGTGCGATTGTTGTGGCCTCACTCTGTTAGCTGATATTCCAAATCATTGTGCGATTGTTGTGCGTCAGACTTTAGTAAACCTTCAAATCTGGTCATTCAGGCTTGTTTGATTCAATCAAATGGAAATGGAGGGTCCATAGTGTAGGTGTGTAAGGAAGGTAGTAGTGCGAACGTCTTGGACAGAAGCTTGGCTTCGTGATGCTTGAGGCTCTAGAAATTAAGTTATCTGTCATTACAAACTTTAAATTGAGTTAGTTGCATTTCTCTCTACATCATTCTTGATGAGCAAGTATTAAGTATATTGACACTATTGCTTACTCTAACCTTGTAGCAAGGACATTGTGGCTTCTTCAACCGAATTGATCCCCCACATTGGTGATAATAACTCTTGCCGATATCTCTAGGCCTTGGAAAGAATAGATCGGTTAAAGTCCATCTTTAACAAAGCATAATGGGAAAGAAGATTCTATTTGAGTTTCATGATTGATAATGTACTATCTAATCTGGCCTAATGAAGTTGTTCCTATTGAAGACTAACGAGGCTACGATGCTGGTTGTTGTAATGTTTTGGGTTGTCGATATGTGCCTTTTAAAGGTTGTAGGATCAGCTGTCATTAGTGGATGTTGGGAGGTTTATTTTTTTTTGTAAACACATAAGGCTATCCCTTTTTGTATTGCAAATATTGAGGTTTAATGAATTTAAGTGTTTAATGATGAGTTAAAGATTATGTTTGCTTGATGATGCTTATTGTGCTGAGCTTGATGATGATGATGGTGGATTTGTTGCCAAAGCATACTAGTCTGAGCGTATGCTAGGCCAACACGAATGTAGAATATGTACACATAACCTGTGTTGAGGAAAGCAATGGACAATTGGCAATATGAGAACTTTTTATAGGCACCAGGAAAGGAATTACACATTGACATACAATCCAGATGAAATAAAGTAATAATAAAGTATTCATGATATATGCATAATAGACAATTGTCAGAGACTATTGCAATCCATAATCTAGAACACGGAACAAATTAATCCAAACATGTTCCTCTATGCCACAATTATCAAACCAAACGCGATATCTGCCACAATGGTCATGCAACTACTCATTTCTCACAAGTGAAACTATTGAGCTAACTAAGACCAAAAAAACTAGTACTCAAAGCATATTAAATGAAAAACTCCAGAAAATGGTCCTTGTGCATCAAAGCAAAAAGAAACATGTCTATACAAAAAAATGGCCTCTGTGATTCATATTGTTTTATGGAAAGAGAAACATTCCAAATAAAAAAGTTTGTGTTGTTGGTCTTATTGGTCCTTACATCCTCCTCTTTACCTATAGTTGAATAAAAAAAATCAATTAGTCAATACAAAGTCAAGTGCAAATAAGAAAAAAATTATGACAAAGTCGAGTAGATGTGTACCTGCATCTTACCAAAGATAATAATGAGCTTGGAATATTTCCAAATATTGAAGCAAGTTGTTCGACTGCCTTAGGTTGTGATGCTAATGGGGTTGAAGGAGTGCTTCCTACCACATCTCGTGAGCATGAGGCAGATATAGAAGCTGCTAGGGTTGATGATGTTGCTATTGCTGTTGATGCTATTGATAGATTCTCGCAATAATATCCATTATGGCCTAACTCATCACATTTTCCACAAATAATTGTAATATTCTGTCTCTTCAACTTTGTTCCCATGGCTCTTGCATAACATTCTTTTTTCTTCTCTTCAAATTGTTAGTAGTTTTTTTATTCACTGATTTTGTTCTTTGTTTCTTCTTTCTACCAACTTGCTTAGGCATGGTGGGAGTAATGGCTCTCTAGCAGGCCTTGTGTCCTTGGAATCTACAATATGCATGACATGGCTATAAGTCTGCATGAATGTTTCTTTACTGTAACATGTATAAACCCATTTTTCATTTTGTTTTCTTATGTATTTAAGAGCTACCAAAAGGATAGCAAGGGATCCCACCAATTTCTAATCTTCTACGGCTATAAGTGTGACTTCCCGAATTTCGCCTACCCAATTAGCAAGCTCAGGAAATTTATGTGGTGTTGATGATCGAATTTATTTAAATGACGCATTCCTAATGGTCATTTAAGGAATTTAGGGACGATGGCACTTAACCTATACTTTGTCTGAATATTATAAGTGCCCAAGTTACATGACATAGGACACAATTGGGACATTAATATGTGCCATGCATGGCCGGCCACCTAATAACCATATTTCACTCCAATTTAATTGTTTTTAAGCCCAATAATCATTACTTGCCAACCCCCTTGCCCAATCAAATTTCATGCAAGGATTAGAAAGAGTGATTGACTCTCTTCTTTGAAGGGACGTATCGAGAACCGAGACAAAACGATCACGCAGAAAACAGAGAAAATAGACGATGCACGAATTTACCCAGATTCACCCTCGATTAGGGTTACGTCCTGCAAAGAGATTTCACTATGTTTTTTCGGTTTACAGCCACTCAACTCGTTACAATGATCAGAAAAACGAGCAAAATATATATATGCCCCAAACGGGCCCAAAACCTAAACCTATATGAAATCTCTTAATCTCGCACTATACGGGCCAGCCCAAACCCGTTGAGGTTTCGGGGGCGCTGCCCCCGAGCCCCCGCCCGCTCACCGGCGAGCGGGGCAGCCGTCCGCTGACCGGGCAGCGGAACCCCCGTCGGGGGGCGCTGCCCCCGAACCCCCGCCCGCTGACCGGGCAGCGGGGCACCCGTGTCGGGGGCGCTGCCCCCGAACCCCCGCATTCCGCACGCATGGGTCACATGTCGTTGGATAACACTTCAGTTTCCCTAAGCTCACGTGGGCGTACCCGGTGTGAGAAACAAGGGTCCCCGAAGTATTCGCCAACTCCAACATTCTTGACCTCATGATGAGAGATCAACTCTCATTTCCCTCTCTCCTTCACTCTCGGCGCTCTCTCACTCTCTCACTCCCCCTCATTTTCCTTCTTAAACACTCAAGAACAACCCCCTCTCCCTTTCTACTCTCTTGGCCGACCTCCCCCACTCCCTCTCATCTTCATTTTCTTTATTTTTCCTCCCTTTAGAGCTCACGGCCAGCAACTCAAAGAAGAGGAATTTTGGTACTAGCAAGCTCAAGGCAAGAAGAAGTTGCTAGTTTCTACCCCCATTGATCTTTTCAATACTCGGTTTTGATGCGTTTTTGTGTTGTGGTTTGTTTTGGCCGTGCATGTCTCTTGGCTGATTCATTTGTGGGAAGAAAGTGTGTGTGATGGCTGTTAGTGAGCTTCTTAGTTGAGATTTTCAGATAGAAATACTTGCATGTCGGCTTACAGCTCCTGTAAGCAGTTGCATGGGTCATTCGTGGGTTCAAGTGGTGAAATGAGTTTATTTTGCTGAGTCTTGGTCGAGACGGCTCATGCATGTGGGTGTTAGCTCCTAGTATGGATGATTCTTGAACAAAAAATTCGTGTGGTTCAAGTCTAGGGTTGCTTCATGAACTTTTACTCTGATTTCCAGATTCGGAACCGCTGGACCTTCGCTGTTTTCCAATTTTATAGAGCTTTTTTTGGTTCGAATCTTGAAAAACTCCCTTCATGAAAGTTGTGCAAGACATCTTGTCTACAATATACTTTAACTTAAGATTTTCCGGAGTTGAAATGGCTAGCACGATGGCCTAAATCCTTACCGTATTTGTACCTGTTCAGTGCAGTAAAACTGCGACCTTTGTGTCTTCTTGATTTTTTATAAAATTTTCCAGTTCTAATTTAGACATGATTCCCTCACAAAAGTTGTAAAGAACATCTGTCTTTATAATGTATAAAAATTTCAAAATGTTTTGAGTAGGTTTGGGTTGTGAAATGGGTATTTCTTAAAAGGTATCAATCCTGTTTCCAACTGGTCTGTTTTGCCTCACTTTGAACGACTTATTGCCATTTATGTGAATCGATTTGGACTTATTACCGTCATGAAAAATATTATTTATGGTCTTTCCTATTACATATTTAAATTTCATGATTTTTCAAATTCATTTACTAAGGTAATGGTCTTGATTTCTAACATTACTCAAAACTGTTTTGTTTCACCTATTGTCGGAAATTCATGAATTACTACTTGAGGATGATTGAATCTTGATTCCTTGTCTACTGGTGATAGAAACCATACTCATTAGGCTTTCTAATGACGCTTGTTTGGTTTTAATCCAATGTCAAATACTGTAAAACTTGGGCCATCCCCGTGAGCTTGAATTCTAAAATTTCTGTTTGCTTCAGCTTGGGTAGTTAATGAGTCACCTATTAGCTCGGTGTGGCATGGTATCATTTCATGTGAAAGTGTTGTGCTGAATGAGATGAGTCCTATGGTGTATGAATGTCATGTCATTGCATATATACGTGTCATATGTTTGAAATGTGTGAGAAAGGAAGATGTTATTTGATGCCCAAGGCGAGCAAACCTTGGAAGTCTTGGCTAGCAAACCAAGAACCTCGATGATGCTAGGTAGGGTGTCGAGAATGCTTGCGGCTAGCAAACCATGGAAGTCCGGCTAGCAAATCGGAAGGGAATGCCTTTGCTAAGAACCAAGATGCTCCGGAGTAGGGATGCCTGCGGTTAGCAAACTGTGGAAGTCTGGCTAGCAAACCAAAAGTGATCCGCATGGGCCGGCTAGCAAACCGGTTGTACCATGAGATGGGGGTGGACACGATGACATGATGAGAATGAGAAATGAGATGTGTGATACATCAAATGTATGCTGGCAATGCACATGTGGTCATGGATGTGGTGTTATATGAGTCACATATTGGCATTGCATATATAGTCATTGAATGATGCATTTGAATCG